AGACACCGAAAGGAAAAGTAATTTTCACCCGGTTACATGCTAAGTGATGAAGCTAACATGGGAACCTAGGAGGCTGGCTCGAGATTTGATCATTTTAAGCACTACATTTTATTCCCTTTTTGCTGTGCCAAAGATGGTCGAAGAGGAAAGAGATCAACTTCAAAGCTTTGCCCCAGTAGGGTGTGCAAGCCCTGCAAAGTGTAGAAAGGCATGTTTTAAAGAAATAACATTTTTTCTACAACATATCTTCACTATCTGGTCTCCAAAAGAGGACAAGCCTCTGCAGTTTAGTTATACTCCGTTGTCTCTTGGCCTTATGAAAAAGAATTGTATCTGCAAGGCCTCCCTAAGGACAACCAACAGGATTCAAGTGTGGTTCAGAAAGGCAGCCTTCAGTTTCACCTTGTCCAGGGAAATGGGATTCTAAAAACAACAACCCCCACTCCTCCTTGTCCCCCTCTCCCCCCAAATGTACAAAACAGATCAAGGTCTGAATCCATTGCTGAAATTATGTTTAGGAGATCTCCCTAAAGTTGTTCTTCAGAAAACATAGCTACCAAATGATTCATACTAATGCACTGTTAACTTCAGTAGAAGTTCCCCTTTTCAGTTTGGATGTTATAAACATGCTATGAAAACCCAAAGGAATGCTTCTCTGACTTCAATTAACTTGAGAAGTGTATTCATGTGTTCCAGCCTCTATCACAAATACAACTAAAAACAGAGTCTTTGGAAACTAAATGCTCCTCCTTTACTGAGGTAGAAACGTCTCAATGTTGTTTTTCAAAACAAATTTTACTTTCAGTATGTTTTGAAACTTTCATCTTGGATTTTTACATCCTTGGAGCATTTTAACCATTGCCCCACATCTTTGAACTTTTCATTTTCTTCATTAAAATGACAAGTTAAAGGCAATTCCTTACTTCAGTCATGGAAAATACCAGGGTTTTATTAGTTTATCAGAAAGGAATTCGCTAGTGCTGTGTTTTCATTAGGCACAGACAAAGACTCTGGTCGTTAATGTAACTCTCCACGACGCACTTAACAAATGATTTGTGGGAGAAACGCTGCCTCGTTTTTCCGTTGTTGTCCTGACAAGAAACATGCAGAGCATTCCTTCTCCCCCTTGAAAACACTGGATCTTTTTTAAAAGGCAGACTCTTAGGATCTTTTGTTTATGTGCTTGTATTTGTGAATGTGGAAAACAATGGGATTCTTTTTCTGGGGAAATAAGTTTTATAAGAACCAGTCCGCTGAGATGTTTCTGGAAAGCCATTGTAGATCTGGAAACTTTACAAATGTTCTTCATGGTCAGCTAGGAAACATCTTTCATCTTCAAAGGTTGAGCTCTTAAGCAATCCACTTTAATCATTTCAAGGCGGTGAGAGCATTTGATGCTACAAAATAAAAGAACTAGGCTACATAAATCTTTGGAATTTGCACAAGAGTCATCCAGATGGCAACCCTGTTGTTTCCGTGGATGGCACCCTTCACTGTGAGGGGCTACAGCCTAGAGCTGGCACGAGACTAAGAGTGGAGCAGTGGCCTTTGTGAGCATCTGCCCTTTCAATTCAAGGAAACTTCTGGAAAACACACAGCCTTTGTTAAAAAGTTCGTCTGTAGCTAAGACATCCACCCAGGAATTAGAATGACTGAATGACATGCAATGGTAGTCTTCCTCTTCCGGTCTTCCAGGGGCTTCCGCTCTTCTCGTATAAAGCTGTTTAATTTGCTTTAATTGACTCAGGATACCTATTTACTTCCTGATATTCACATCAGCTGATGTAAAATGCTTTTGAGGTGCTAAGGAAACGTAAGGCATCAGAAATGAAAAACACACACTTTTGTATCAATAAGACTTTATTTACTTACAAGTTATGCAATTACAAATTTGATGATCATCTCTGGTTAAGTTATAAACTTCTAAACTTCTTTTTCTCAGTAGGATCCCCAACTCAAAGTTGAGTATTAAAGACAAAAATATCTACCTTTTTAATGCCTCTGTATGTGCCTTCATTCACATATTTTCTAGAACAATATACAATGTCGGTGAAATAGGTGAAAAGAAGACAATGCAGACACTAGACATTCAGTGCATTGTTGTGTTCTCTAGTTACCTGGGGCTCAACCAAATGATGGTTCCGGTTTTAACTCTGTCTTAACGAAGGCACTGAAAACATGTTAGATGACTGACATTGATTTGTCTGAGCAATTATGCTTTCTTTTCCCTCAAAAGTCCCAGGGTCTCTCATGATTATGTGCGACATGTTTTCCCTGTTAGCTCATTTCGGGGAGGGAACATAATCAGAAACATGAAGGTTATGTGATTGGTTAACAAGTAAACACAATGGAAAATGGACTTGCATAACAAGTAATAAGAAACGTATTTGGAGTTCATTTACACGTTTATAATTTCCAAGCAAGTAAAGACTCATGGTTTATTCTACGGAATTATCAGAATAGTTAAATAGAGAAGTCCTAACATTAGAACATATTTAATTAGAAAAAAAGTCTTCTTTCTGCCTTAATTACTTAGCAGCAGTTATCTAGCCATCGTTTATCTAAAAAGCAATGTGCCAACTACTTACATTAAACAAAGATTACATTAGAGACTTAAAACTTTTTAATTTCTATGTACTTTTGGAAGCAGTCACATTACTGAAAAAATATTTGCATAGTGTTGCCACTGTGTGTCAATACTATAATAGAATGACATTTAACGCTAAAAATCATATATTTAACATTTGAAATTTCACTTTTAAATTCTACTTACTCCAGCTACGCAGCATTCCTAGCGGTATTAGGAATAGGCATTTTGCTGTCAGCCACTAGGTGGCGACCCCTGACGTTTAAATTTGTCATGTTTTATAAACTAGAGGAAACAGAAAATAGACGGTGTTTCTCCGTTTGTGGACCAAACGTCATATTGCAGAATTTTCACAGATTTGTAAAAACACAATTCTTTGTAAAGACGTGTTTTATGCTTCAGAAAACTCTCATGAATGGAAGTGATTATTCAATAGAAGTGTGCTCAAAAACCCAAGAGTCCAGAATTCTTCTGACTGTTCCCAAATGCTGCGCATCTTATCAGCCCGTAAGCGCCCTCAGACTTAGCTACCTACAGGGCTTTCTTGTTGAATCTATACAGAAAATAAGACGCATGATTAAACACTCAACCTGTTTGTTTTACAACAGACGAAAACAACACTAAACTTCTTTTTAGCTTATGAACACTTAAATGTATCAGATACATTCCCTAAGGAACTCTTATTTCCCACAGCTAGAAAGAAAAGACTGGTGGCTTTAGGCAACATAAAAATACTGTTGGTATCAAACTCCTTTATTTTCTTTCTAAAGTTGGACTAGAGAAGAAAATATTATGTTTTTAAAATACTGCAAGACTTTAGACAACTGCAACTATTTGCAACTAAAAATGGAAGATTTGCATCTTTTCAATAAATGAGCAATGAGGTGCATTTAGTAGCCTACCAAACGTCCCACCTTGCCTTGGGCGAGTGCAGGGTGGTCCTTATTTGGTATCCTAATCAAATATTTTCTTGGGAGACAGGATAGAGAGGAAAGAGGAAGAGAGAAAAAAAATGGAAGGATGAAGGTTCGAGGGTGAGGAAGATGATGGGGGATGGAGGAAGGGGGAAAAAGAGGAGGGGGAAATGAGGGGGAATGTGCTTACCCAAGAAGGGGGCGGGGTGATGAGCAAAAGAAAGAAAAGGAGGAGGAGTTCCGAAGGAGCCAAAAGGGGTGGAGCGATTAGAAGGAAGGAGGGGGGAGGAGGCAGGGAGGAGGACAGGAGAGCGGAATGAAAGGGTGGGATGAGCACGTTTTTTTTTCTTTTATGGCCATGAGCTGAACATGAAATGGCATTGTGTCTCTCCCACCCACCTTCTTGTTACTTGTGAAGTCACCGCAAATAATTGATATTTTATAAAATCTTGCTTTCATGCCCAATGTTTGCAATAAGTACAGATCTAAACATGGAAGCATTTTTAATTATGTGCAAATAGAAAATGAAATGTCTTTGTAATTATTTCAGTATCCTTAAATTTGGCATTTTAATATGTTTATATGGAAATGTTCATTCCAATTTGCCCAGTATTTTCATGGCTAAAAGGAACATAAGAATTAATAGACGTGATTGCACATAAGTAATGAGACAATAGGGAAATAAGAACATAAAAATCACGACATGCATTTACTAGAAAGCATATCTAAATAACTTTTTGAAGTCAAATGGGACTAGTAGCATTTGTAGAAAGGTAAAAACACATTCGTGTTTAAAATATATTTGTTAAAGTATACTCTTCATTAATGCAAGTGCAGGTAAAATAGAGCATGCAGAAAATACTTCACTCTCAACAATATGTTATTAGAAAGTGTGCGTTAATCAACCCTGTAAATGTTAGATACAGAATAGAAACAAGATGCTGAAACACTTTTTAACCGTCTGAATGCATTAAAGAGTATTGACTGATACCTTGCCGACATTGTACAGAAATACATTTAATGAATCTAATAATACACAAGAATTTCCTTCCGATAGTTTTTAACGCATGCTATTTTAAAACACATGATCTGATTGGAAAAACAATACTCAATATTCATATTGTATCCTCACAAAGGATGCAGCATACAAAGGAGAACATAAAGGTATTACAAGAGGCCAATAACTTCCAGACAGCCCAGGGAAGCATTCCAAGATGTTAACAATCCAGGAAGGGAGTTTTTAAAAAGTCACATTAAAAGTTTCCAGTGCCTTTACCCTGAAAACAAGTTAAAACAAGAACATTTCCCCCCTGAAAACACCCAGAGAGCTTTTAAAAACACAAATGATACTGTTCTTTTTACACAAATGGAAAAGGCCCCATCATGATTCATTCAACATTACACTGGGAACTGAAAGGAGACATTATCTTTTATCCCTCTTTGTAAGGAGCAGTAAAGACACAAGCCTCAGAAAGTTCGTGAAATCAGTACCTACTCACCATCTTGGGTCTGTTGTGCCAAAAGAACAGTGGGGTGAAGCAGAGCAAGAAGCAGCCAGGTCCCCTTTTGCACAAAGCTCATCATGTCTAACGATCAGACATGAGACTCTTTGTGCAAAAAGGAGAAAAGAGAAGCAGTTCAAAGTAGCACCATCAGTTGTTCCCTGCCCTTCAGCACCGGGCCCGTCACAAAACTCAGCCACTGAGCTTGCTTTGCTTTGGCCTTAAATAGGAAAAAGCTTGGCTTCCCTCACTTTCCAGCCCCTTTCTGAAACATGAGAGCAGCACCCATCCCCTCAGCAGTAAAAGAAATGATTAATATTTCTCTTCCCCCTTATAGAAGACCCAGCCCACAGAGCATGGAAAGCAGCACATCTGGAACTTGTGTGTGTCTGCTTATGTAGACGTTTCTTATAGGTTTTCAGCTTTTCTATGTGTGTGTGCATGTGCGGGGGTGTAACTTATGAACATATATTGAAGTACTCTGTTTTATCGTGTTCTAAGAATCAAATGTATGTGCTTCTTTAATGACTCTCAGTAATATTGTACTTGTGATATAAGTTTGAGAAATGGCTTCATACCCATTTCTTGGGCATGACTATTTGCAAACTATCTTGCCAGAAGGTTTTTATGTCGATGTTTTGCCAGAATCCATCCTGGCTCAATTTGAAGAGAGACCTGGAAGAGATTAACTGGTTTGTCGGGCTCACTCACCCCCACCCCCCACCCCCGACGGCCTGGACGTTGGATTTCAAGCAAATGTCAAAAACCTCTCTGAGCTACGTCGAAATGGCACCCTGAACGTTCGATGCTGATCTGGACTTGCTTCTCTTTTTTTCACAGAGCTCTTCAATAAGCCAAGAATTGCTTTCTTGTGAGTTTTCAAATTTTTATGCTGCTTGTGAAAGTCAGAACAGATTTTTCTAGAGAAAATCCAGCCTTTTTCACGTCCTGATTTTATGAGAAATTTAAAGAGAAACAGCTTCTCACATGGTATGCCAGGGCAAAAAAAAAAAGTTGTTGCCTGAGCTCCTGCAACTTACAGCCACCCCACGTGACCAAGGAGGCCCGTCCTAGGGGTGTTCTAGGCTGTCATCTTAGTGAGAGCAGAGCACCCCATCTTTGTCCTGGGTGGCTTCACACCACCTACCTTTTGGTTAGTAGCCAATCACTTAACTATTGCTCCAAAAAAAAAAAAAAAAAAGGAAAAATTCACATTTTATGTGATTTGAAGAAATATTATAGGCCTTTGATAAATCTCAGCAGGAAAACTATGCTGGTTGACAACCTAATAATCAAGAGCTGGCTTTACATCCTAATCATCAGTGCGTGATCCCTTCGTCGTCTCTCCATGTCACCACAGGGCTTCCAATGCGACTCCAGGTGATCTGAATGTATTGTTCCATGCAAAACGTAGTCAAGTCCGTCTCCCTGTGGGCGAACTTTCACTGCACCACAGAGGTGCATAATGGCTGATTCCCTAAGACCCAACCCAAAACGTTTGTCTTGGTAGAATGCCTTTGTCTTTTTCTTTCTCGAAATTCATGTCTCCCTATTTTACTCAATTTATGTTGTGTTTCCCAGGTATGCTTTCATTCAGTGAGCATGAGCTGACAGTGGTCTGCTTGCTTTCTCTGTATCCCTAGTTGCCAGGAGCCCAAACCAAGTTGGCCCCACGAGGATAACATCATCTCATGACAGGGCAGGGCAACTCGTTGGACCAAGTTGTGCACCTTTTCACTTTCAAGCGGAAAGCCACGTCTTTTATATGCTATAATCAAATAGCTTCTCTTATTATTTTAATCAATTAAAGTTGGACGTTATTAAATTTGCTCATGTAAATATTTTCTCAACAGGAAAATTGAGTGTATTATTTTAAAAAAATAATGCTTTATTTTTGATACTACATGTGTAATATGGTAGTTTTATTGCAGTTTTTGTTTTTGCTCAACTTCTAAATTTAATTAGCATTCAAATACTAAATGAGATCTTATACTCATGAGAAAAAAAATTAGTGTTCAATGATTTTATAAAAATTAACCTATATTTTACACATCAAAATTCACAAGGGGATAATTCATATACCTTTTCTAATTTTCCATTCTTCACAAAGTCATAATCCTTTGTATTTTATGTTCCCTTCTCATTCTTGTCATGTCAAAGCCTTTCCTGATATGGTGTCTAGTGGGACGTGATTCTAAACTGGTGTCACCATCAAGTGACATGCATATGGTGAATCCCATGATGCTATTGAGAAGCTGGTCGTAATCTGGACACACGTTTCCTTCTACATCCCCATGCCTTGCTTGATATTCACCAGGACACACAGACATGTCATTGTGCTCCCTGGATTGCCTTTGGAGTTTCAGCACAAATCTAAACAACTGAAGCACTGATTATTCTGGCTCCTTCTTCCACAAAGCGAGTGACTGGAAAGAGGAGCTAAAACAAGGGAGTGGCAGATTATCAACCAAAAATGGAAATCTGTTCTCTTCAGTGGAAAATCGGGCTTGGGAGAGCTGCACGGAGCAGCTGTGATGAACTCCCCGGCCAGTGAATGTCAGCAGCGCTCTCTGCAACAGCACTGAGCAGACCAGTCAGGTCCCAAAGGAACAACACATGGAGGGACAGCCCTCCGAGCACTTTCTCTGGCCCCTTCTCTCTTGTCGCCAACATTTCTCTCCCTCTCTCTGCCTCTCCTTCCTCTCTCTTACACTGTCTTCGGTGCCCTTTTCCTTTTAAGCTACGGACATGTTTTGTTTGTAGGAGCTTTTTTTGTGCTTTTATATCACTGCAAAACCACTTAATTTTTCACTTAAAAATACTGAATCCATAGCAGAATTGAAACCTAAGTTAGGATAATGTATCATGAAATTGTAAAACTACAGTGTGGGAAGATCTAATATTCTGTTACTAGTGAAGGGATTAGGTCACTCAGTTTACATGGGTAAGATCATATTTGAAGAGTTGAATTCTCTTTAAACATATTTGAACAAATACCAGTGTATGTGGACTAGAGCCACAGATACGGTTAGAACAAAGGCCACAGAAATCCCTAAGATTGAGGTCATGACACTAGTAAAATATGATAGCCAAGTATTGAATGATTACAATCATCCAATGATTACAATCCATTTTCTATTTTCTTTTTCTTTTTTCTATTTTCTTTATTTTTTTCTTATTTTTTATTTTTATCTTAATGTCCAATTTTCTTTTGAGTTTTGATTCTCTACTTCCATATCGATAACCACTTTTTGCTAGACAAGAGGTTCTACTTTTGTACAAGACTAAAATTTCCTTGACATTTATTTTAAAAGTTTAAGCAATGTACTAAATTTAGAAACATTGAGACCTCTATATTTATATATTCTCTTATACCCTTTATTATAAAATCCGACATTCTGAATTTTAAAAAATCATTTTTTATGGGTGCATACATGTCTTATCACAATCCATCCATCCATCCATCCATTGTGTCAAGCACATTTGTACATTTGTCACCATCCTCATTCTCAAAACACTTTATTGCTACTTGAGCCCTTGATATAAGCTCCTCATTTTCCCCCTCCCTCCTCCACCCTCCCTCCTTCATGAACCCTTGATAATTTACAAATTATTGTTAGTTTTTCATGTTTTACACCGTCCAATATCTCCCTTCACCCACTTTTATGTTGTCCGCCCTCCAGGGAGGGGGTTCTATGTAGATCCTTGTGATCGTTTCCCCCTTTCTACCCCATCTTCCCCTTCCCCTCCATTCTGAATTTTCATCATTATATCTTTCCACTGAAGATTAATTGAAGAACAGAAAACAAAGTCCAGAGGTGTTACTTGACTCTCAAAATGACTATTTGCAATTCAAATTAAAGGAACATTTGCCAGATTTTCCCCATGGTTTCCACTTGAGTTCATCACTATTTATGCTGCCCGTAGCCATTGCATCCACTCCAGCTCCCAGTCATCCTGCAGGGCAGGGCAGAACCGCCTCACAGGTTTTCCGAGGCTGTGTAATTCACGGAAGCAGGCTGCCACATCTCTCTGTCCAGAGGAATGGCCGTCCTACACTTAACCCGCTATGCCACCTGAAGCTTTTTCTAATCATGGTACTTGTACTTTTATGCAACTTAAGAATTGGATGAATACAAATTCTGTATGTGTTCTAATGACAGATTGTAAAAAGAATGCAGAGAGGGAATAAAGAACAAAAGTGCAGAGATCATGGCCAGTTTGAAAAAACAACAACATTCTTCTCACATTTAGATCATCATTGATCTATGGGCAATTTTCAGTATTGGCATAATTTCTAGAATTTCAGTTAAAAACTCATTACTGATGATGAAGTAAGTCTTAGAATTCACATGTGTGTATGCATATATACATATGCTTTTAGAGCCTCACAAAAATTTGAGCAAATTGACGCTTCTGGAAATGGACTTAATATACACATAAAAATGATTTGCATTTGTTACTAGTTATTCACCATATAAATAGATTCAAATCCAAAAACTTTCTCTTGTATTAATATAAACCTGTCACCTAAAATCTTGGATACTTACTAGGCCACATAGTCAAAGAACAGGAAACTATTGGCCAACACCTATTTGAATGGCCAAAGCTTCTGAAGTGTTCTAAGCATGTGCTCCTGAGTGAACTCTTCATGCTTAGAAACCAGCGATGCACTTATTTGCTGTGGTCATTTATTATTGCAATTACACTTGAAAACTCATAGAAAATTGGGATTCAGTTCATCCTATAGCACACTGACTTACTCATCAACTGTGTGGATATTTTATAAAGTTTGCTGCAAGCCCTGATCCGGGGGCTGGAATGCAACATCTTGCTGGAGTTCCCTATTGGGTCTTTAGTTAATCGTTCTCAGGATGGAAATCCTCATTCTGTAAACCCCACAAGACTCTCTATCAAATATGATTTGTCATCTGAGTCATACTTAGGAATTTTCAGCCATATCCAACACAGCTGCAACAACTCCTCAAATGTAGCCAGTTCTGTCTGAAGATAAAAGAAGGCCAAATCACCCCATTCTGATATGGCAGAAGATATGGACCAAAGGCCAACCAGTGACTGTGGATGCTTCAAATGATTCTTTATGTTTAGCTAGTCAACGAGGCTCAAATTGAAGGTCTTCTAAATCCAACTAACTTTTAA